CCTGTAAGATTCTGAGGGAAGGAGGTGGCAAGCTCCCTTACCAAACCCCTGGATGCGTCTGCTGTCATCCCTTCAGCTGAGAGGGGCTTCGTGCCTTTTGTGCATAGGGTCGCTATGAGCCATGCTCACAATCAACAACAACAACAATGAGTTCTAGCACTTGACTCAACAGCACCTACCAACAACCATTTTCTTTTCGTTTTTGTATAACTCCCCTGTGTCCCACCCTGCCTCTCACCAGTTCCCTTCGTAGTATAGCCACAATTGGAGTTTTACAACTCCCCTACCTGTCCTTTAGCCAAGGTATCCCAAAGTGCTCTCCTTCCAACATGAGGAAATTGTTGCAACATCATAATTAAAAACATAACATTAATGATATGGTGGACCAGTGGCATGCTAGAGCTGGTTGTATTGGATTGCAAGAGGCAATTAGTAAATCCTAGGGAAGATTACAGACTGGTTGTTAAGGATAGCCCTTATTAAAAGTTAAATCATAGAAAGTTAAAATTAAATTATATTAAAAACAAAGGTAACAAATACTGAAAATTCATTACTTTCAAATTAGTTTTCTACATTGTATTGTTACTTATCTTGAGAGCATTCCCATATATTCTATCTGCATTGTAGAAATGTAGGACGGTGTGCTCACCTCTTTCCAGCACTCTATTCAGTGGCCTTATCTCAGTAGCTTGTAATCAGCAGTGTGGGAATCACTATTCCAAGAAAATTTTTAAAAACAAATGAAGGAAAATTGAAGTGTGTTACCCTGTAAATTCCATGTACTAAAACACATTGCTCACAAGTGATATAATGAAAAACAATTTTAAAAAGAAAAAGTACATTGTTCACACTGGATTCAAGAGTACATGGAATGAGGGATATCATTGCTGATGTCAGAAGGATCATGGCTAATGGCAGAGAATAAAAAAAATGTTTACTTGAGTTTTACTCTTTATGGAGTATGCAAAGGCATTCAGCTATGTGTGTCATGATAAATTATGGATAACATTGTAATGAATGGGAATTACGGAACACTTAATTATGATCATCAAGTCAAGAACCTGTACTTCGATCAAGAAGCAGCCATTTAAACAGAATAAGAAGAGATTGCATGGTTTCAAGTCAGGACAGGTGTGCCTCAGGGCTGGATCCCTCCACCACACCAATTCAATCAGTATGCCAAGCATGTGATCTCAGAAACTGGAAAATATCAAGAAGAAGGAGACATCAGGATTGGAGGAAGACTCATCAACCACCCGTGGTGTGCAGATGACACAGCTTTGCATGGCTGGAAGCAGTTACAGTTGAGGCCTAAGGTGTGCCTGACCCAAACTATGCTAAAATCACAGCCTAGAAAAACCCACCTATGGGCAGTTCTGCTCTGCCAGTCACGGGGTCATTAGGAATCAACATGTGGAACAGATTATTCGGAAGGCTGGGCTCTATGAGGACAAGTGTGGCATCAGGATTGGAGGTGGACTCATCAACAATCTGCGTTATGCAGATGACACAACCCTGCTTGCTGAAACTGAGGAGGACTTGAAGCACTTGGTGCAGAAGGTCAAGGACTGCAGCCTTCAATACGGATTGAAGCTCATCATCAAGAAAACAAACATTCTCACAACTGGGCTCATTGGCAGCAACACGATGATGAAGAGATTGAGATTGTTGACAGCTTCAGTTTGTTTGGCTCTACAATCAACACTCTTGGTACCAGCAGCCAGTAAATTAAAAGACAAACTGCATTGGGAAAGTCTGTTGTCCAAGACCTCTCCAAAGTCCTAAAGAACAACAATGTCAGTATGGAGACTAAGGTGCACCTGGTATAGGTTATGGTCTTTGCAATTACTTGCTATGCATCAGAGAGCTGGACAATGACTAGGGATGATAGAAGGAGAGTTGATGCCTTTGAGCTGTGGTGTTGGAGAAGAGTATTGAATATACATTTACCCTGTAGAGGGTGAAGCCAGGCTGCTCCTTAGAGGCAAGGATTCTGAAGCTTTGTTTTGTTTCATGCTTTTACTTGAGAGAGATCCACCCTCGTTCAGAAAGGCGAAGCTTCATCTAACATACTTTGGATATATTGCAAGGCAGGATCAGTCCTTGAAGAGGGACAACCTGCTTGGGAGGGTGGAGGGACAGCGCAGGAGAGGAAGGCCCTCAGTGAGATGGATTGATTCAGTGACTGGGGTAATGGAGGTGAATGTGTCAGAGACAGTGCAATTGGCACAGGACAGAGCAGAGTTTAAGGCTGTTGTACATAGGGTCGCTATGAGTCGCAGGTGACTCGATGGCACATAACAACAAAAATGAGTTTAAGGTTCAAGAAAATATAAAATGTTCCAAAATGGTGTTCATCTGACCTGAGGCTCTTTGAGATTGATTTTGTGCTCAGGACCGCATTCTTAGGCGCCTTCTCCTTTCCCTATAAATTGGTGATCACAGTGTATGTAGGATGGTGACTGGGATGGTAAGACAGGCAGGAACTACCTCTTTAGTTCAGCTCAAAAGGAATCACATTTGATTTGTTGTTGTTAATGCGCCTTCGACTTGGAGCTGACTCATAGCTGACACTACAGCAGGTTTTCAGAGGCAGGTTGGAGGCTGCCCATCCTTTTCCCATGGAACAGCTGGTGGGTTTGAAACACATGCCTTTGAGACTGCAGCACAGCTCATATTCTAGTAGACCTTTGCTTCGGTTCTTTATACCTGAGTTTATCTCTGGTTCCTTATCTCTAAAAAGGCTTTGTTGTTTTCAGTTGAGGGCCTTAAAGGAATCCAAAGGAGATGCCACTGAAAAGGAGAGGAGAGGAGAGGAGAGGAGAGGAAGGCCCTCTATGAGGTGGAT